CAAGTAGTTTATTCCTTTACTTAAAGGGGAGTATAAAATTGACACGGAAAGGTAAAATTTTGTCATTTGGAAAATAAATCTCTAGAATATAAGCATAAGAGAAACATGGGAGACAGAAAAATTCAATATGTAACAGATTAACTGTATCTAAACAAGAAGATACAAAAGAGTTCAGTACACACATCTCAATGGCAAAAAAAAAAATAAAAATCTGTTCCTCTTCTTACACCACCACCAGGCTTTGTGGAGAATTCAGTTTCAGATAAGAACTGGAAACTGCCAGAGTGGACACAATGCAGGAAAGAAAATACTATCCTGAGGAGCAGTACAAAAATAGGGAAGGATATATTTGCCTCCGTGGTAAATGGAGAGCAGCATAAGAGATCATCAAGTAGCTGAAGAAGCTCCTTCCAAACTCCATTACAGCAAGAAGGAGCAGAAGATAAGAAGATGGAACAGTTTTCTCAATGAGGGCTGTGAAGGTTTGAACATTCCTGTCTCTGGAAATAAAGAATGAATATGCAATGCTTGTTTAAAGTACATGGCTGAAAATACTCGTGAACCAACCCCAAAAGACAAGAACAAGGAACTGATCTACTAACAAGAAAGACACCTTTGAGGAAGGACTTAAATTAGCAGTTGATATTTTAAGCACTGAAGTACTTCCTCAGTACATCTTGACCAACAGGAAAAAACTGGTCAACCTTTACAAGCAAGTGAAAAGAATCAAGCATCCCTCCTTACAGCTGGAGCCTAATACTGTGCAGAAGGCATTGGTAAAGCTTCATCTTCTTTCATGCAAGACATCTCCAGGCACAGCTTACAGTAACATCTCTCAGCATGACACCTTCATGTACTTCAAGAGTCTGCACGATGATTCATATTTAATGTATTTATGGTACTGCGTACCAGGCAAAATCCTATGCCCTGAACAAAGACACTTGTGATGCAAATAACAAGCACAGAGAACGCTTTCTAGGGTAAAAATCAGATCCCTTCCCTCCTTTCTGCTTTCCAGAGGTCTAACAGACTTAGAAGCTTGAGATAGCAGCTAAGGTTGTGAACATAGCAACTCAAAATCCTAGAGTTCTATTAAATTATACTTGCCTGATCATTATTGAGAGAGTGGGTAATAGCGCTTTTGTCTAGATTAACGAATATCAGATACGCATTTATTAACAAGTTAATGAATCCAATCAGCAACATTCCATTTTAGTACTTGTAAAGCTGTTCTGTAAATTGCAAGACAAATTTCAAAATGGAAGAACTAGAAGTCTGTCCCTGAAAGGTCATCGCAGCTAAAACCATCCTGCTCCTCCAAAAAAACCAAGTTGTTCACTGCAGCAATAGATCTACCTCAATCACAATATTTGCATGGAACAAAATCCCCCAGAATAGTGCCTGACAGAAAAGCCTCGAACAAGCTGAGTTTCAGGCACATACTATCTTGCTGTGTTTTGAGAAGCAGAGAACAAATTACATCACCTACTACAGGAGTAGTAAAAAACTTTCATCCCATAGGACCAATGGCACAATCCTCTCATTATCAAAAGTACATCTGTGATAGACTTCTACACAGTGTGCTAGCAGAACTTCCTAAAAGAAGGCCTGGTTTGAAAAGAAATAAGTGAGAATAACCTACAGTGCTATGGAGACTAATTATCATTTCTATGTCACTCCCAAAAAACAGCAAAGTTTTAGAACAAGTAAGAGCTGACAAAAACGACAACAAAAAGAGACACTAAACAGGAAAAGATTTCAGAACAAACAGGTCTATGCTATCCTCCTCATCCTATCATCTGTATGGTGGCAACTACCTGAAAATGCTATTAAGGACATGAAATACACAAATGAATAGCCAATCGTGATGTTTCACAGTAAGTTTTGGACTTATGTTTTCCCATACAAACGGACAGACATATATAAAGCCCAGGCTGATTTCCTTCTTCTTTCCTGTTAAGAAATTAAAGCCCAGCTAGACTTCTCATTATAACAAGAGGCAGGGCTTGGTAATGCAGTAGTAATTCAAAGACACTATAGCAATCGTAAAGCAATTAGTGAAAACAGTAAGACCCAATACACCCATGTATGGAGAAACATGGCACACCTATGGCAAGAGAGCAGCTGAAACACCTGTGTTCTGTTCTGCTGAGAAAGATGAGAAGCTTGGCTGCAGAAGAAACACGCAGATAACCCCACCAAAAAGCAAAAGCACTCCTGGGATTCTGAAAGGCAACTGAACGCTGGGCAGTGCCCCTGCTCCAGGGCAGCTGCAGGCCCCAGCGCTGCCTCAGAAGTGCCCAGCTCAAAGCAGCTTGGAGAAGGAACCAAACCCAGGCAGCACCAGAAGGAATCAGGGGGAGTGGGGACTGACTCCGATGTCAGTACTGAGGGAAGAGTAAGCTCCCCTCTCTTGCTCCTTCCTTCACCTACAACTGTTGTACACGTGTTTTCTCTGTTCCTAAAATTTGTCCCTAGCTTTAACGAGGAATGAGACTTGGCATCAGACTTACAGGAATTCCCAAGCACCACTCCATCCATGAGGTATTTGGAGCATTTTCCCCTTCCTCCTGACAGGAGGAGAAGGAGCTAGGACTGTCCTTTCAGCTCAGTGCTGTGCCTTTATTTTGAATCATCATCCACAGACCCGCCTTCCAAGTAAACAGCTATCTAAGATGCACTTATCAACGACGTGGTGGAGGACAGAAAACCCATTAACACCTTAAAAATATCTGGTAACATTCAGTGGCCAGAATTCTGAGGCTGAGCGTGCATGGAAGCCTTTAAAGGCAGCAGCCTCACTGCTTTGGGCTGGGGCTTATCTCTGCTCACATGTGCACGCAGCACAGCCGGCTGGGGAATTATCCTGGTCATCACAATCATATGTTTATAAAAGAGCAAGATTCAATTGTTCTTGTCCTCACTGTGGTGGAAAGTGACATAACCAATGAAAACAAAACCAGTCTTTGCTCTGTTTTCTTAATTTTTTTTCCCAACAAATAGGAGAACTGTCGTTTCTTGTACTTGGTACTTCCGATCCAAAGCTTAGTGGCACTCAGACACTTAACTGTCTCGTCACAACACTACTGGAAGACCTCCAGAGCCAGAGCTCAGTAAACAATTTAAGCTATCACAAAGTGACAGCCACCTTCTCTCACTGCTCCTTCCTCCTCATTTTACTCCTCCCCTCGTGCCACCAAAGGCACTGTGCAGCCCTGGCTCTTGGCTGAAGCAGGTCCTTCAGCAGAGTGCTGTGCAGCACTCGGATGAAAACCTCTTCTTTTGGCAATGGGATCAGCTTAAAGTCTTTGTGAAACTTCTATACCTCTGACACTGAGAAGTGTTCTTAATTGAATGAGTAAATGTCCTCCTTTCAGTGTTTGCAAATAAATCTCCACAGTATTCTCTGCAGTTTTTCAATGAATAAAACCTTGCTGCAGTTTAACCCCAAGATAGCTAACGCATTCTTGTTTTTTTTAGAGGAGCTGGACTGGCTGTTAACAGACACTAAATACCTGAAGGAAACAGACATTTAGTTCCATTCACCTCAAGTGTTTAAGATTTCTCTGTTAGATACAGAATTAATTAGCAGTTTGTGTCTGTCTGTGGATTTAGAGTGTAACAGGGTTTGTTGTTAAGAGCTGTGTTGCTACAGGATTTGGTCGCTGCTGTACCTTTGAACAAAACTGATCATTAAGTAGCTTGATTTTAGAAATATACGCCCAAATTATTTTTGAATAACTGATACAAAAATATCAAATTCTTTCAAGATAATTAGTAAAAACATATTTTTCTTCAATGCAATTACTGAAGTTCCACTGTGCACAGTTAAATCCACAGGTTCTCTCTGAAGAAGTCTGGCAAAACATGACAGGTGAGCAGTGCTGTAAAGTTTTTCCAACACGTCTACAATCACTTTAATTTCTCATCAAGATTCCTGTGCCATGCAAATGTGGGAAACGTTATCATATAAATACTTAATGCATATGAACTTGTAGAGAAAAAAAAGACTAATGCAGCTATCAGAATCCTCACCTTACACATATACATTTTTCCTCAGGTAACTTAAGGTCAAATAGGAAATTGGAACATGACTTTGTAATGAATGTGGGGATCAAATTATGAAAAAAAAACAAACAACTCTCATCCAATGATGAAACTTATCATCGATTTTTCCCCTTTTTCCTCATTGCACAGATGTTCAGTAATCTATAGAGGTTACTGACAAGAATTCCAGATGCAAACCAGCACTAAGACTAACCTCACAAATGAGAACTTTGCCCTTAAATGCTGACCTTATTTTTAATGAAGACCAATGACAGAGTCTTTAGACTGAAGTCTAAAACATGACCGGGACTAAGCTAGACAAGAAAAAGATAAAAAGGTCGTGCCTCATTTTTACGTGCTGGCAGTTAGAAAAAGAATTAACTTATCAGTTTTATAAATGTGCTGTCCTGACCAATATTTCACATTCTCACATATTTGAGAATTTTATAATACGTTACACTAGAGAGCTATGTCAGAATGGAGTTTAAATACTAAGCTTCCTCATCAGGCATCTGAAAAGAAAACAGAGCCTTTCTTCTTCCCTATAGCCTGAGAACTCCCATGGCCCCAAACAATCTCCATTCCTTTTTTTTTTTTTTTTAACCCTCTCCAGAATTCAGTTTTACAGCTGGTCAGCATTCTGACTCAGTTTCATACAGATATGTATACCTCTAACAACAGAGTGCATTCCAGGAGCTGAAAGGGCTGCTCTGAGTAATAACAGAATAGGAAAATTGATAACATTTCCTATAGATAAATTGTATGTGAAATACAGCAACTACTGACATAGCATACTTGATCATTTAAATCACCTAGATTGCTAGATTATATTTCCTAAATTTTCACAAAACTTCTCCACAAGCCTTTTACAACCAAAACTTTGCCAGCACTGTTCATGTTGGCCAGAATGTTACAATCCTTAACAAAGCAACTGAATAAATGAGAATGCTTACCAGCAGCGACTACAGCTGGAGGAGGCGAACCTGCCTCACCACCACTTGTTTGGCTCATGGATGCTACAGATGTTTCTCTGGAAGGTGGTAACTGCAGCTCCTTTGGGAGAAGGTCATAGACAGATTCTGTTGGGACAGAGAAAAGGAAAAAGTTTTAATAAAAAATGTATTCCTGATCAGTAATAGAGAAGAAAATGTGCAAGAGATATGAACAATGACTCAACATTTTCAGAACCTCCCTAAGAAGTTACATTAAGTACATGGAGATCTTAACATCGCAGAATGAAGTTATTTCGGAAAACGAACCAACCACGGGAACACGAAGACACACATTCTCAAGTCCAAAACAAAAAGATAAAAATTTGTTCCAACAAAGAAATAAATTCATGAACTTCCACTGAGGCTGCACTTGTTTCGAACGAAAGAGATGACAGCATATACCAAGAAATTCATGAGCATTAAAGGCAAACATGCACTCAATGCAAACTGAGCAAATGACTTTCAAAGAAAGAGACTGATTTAGTATCATCATCTCCAGAATATCCTACAAGGTCTTTCCATGTAATAAGTGTCAGTTCCTGTTAACTAAGATCCCTTACTTCCATTTATCTGCAGCATTTTTCTTGCCTCAGACTTCTCAGTGAACTGCTGTAGATACTGCAAAGCAAGCAAGCTCCACAAAGAACGCTGGTGGTGACACTGCATCGCACCCAGCACTCTCTGATCTGTGCAGGAGCACCACCTCAGCACCAGCGCACAACTGCACGTACACCTTTCCAGCAGGACAAAAAGAATGCACCTACTGTGGAGGTGGATGGATGTCTTTACATTCCCCGGCTTGCAAAGGGAGCACGCATGGCCCCGAGACTCTGTGCTCCTGTTTCCCAGCCTGTCTGAGCAGGGCAGATGGGTAAATCCCGGGCAGGACAGCCATGAGTTGGTTACTGCTGCAAGCAGTCGCTAGCACTCAGCTTCTGAATTTGCAATATAAGGCACCAAAACTTATCAGGAAGGCTCATTACACCTTCAAATCTGCCTGCATACAGCAAGGAGTTAGCGAGAGATCCTGGCAGCGCACTTACAACCAATGTCAGGGCTTTTCACCCTCTGTTCTCCTTCTGAACCTGCAAGGTCAGTCCTGATGCACAGAAGCGCAGTTCCAGCAGAGGACAGACATGCCTTCACACCTTTTAAAACCCAGCTGGCATAACTCAAGCTCCCAAGCCTACCTCGCGCTCTGCAGGCACAAAAAGGCAGCCAGCAGTGCATATTTGTAGGAGGTGGTTGGTTGTCATGCCACATTCTGAGAAAGCTTCCGTGAACCACAAATCCCAAGCAGTTTTCAAAGAAAACGTTTACTTATTTCCACGTTGAACGCCTCCTATAAGCTTGGCCAGTGTCATAGCTGTCAATATGTCAAAAACGTCTCCAAATAAAATGTGGCATTTGGAAGCCATGAGATTTGGGTCCATTTCCTGCTGAACCACAGACTGTCTTCAAGGTGGGTATCTTGACCCAAAGGCTGAGATTGCTGCCGCAGCAACAGCAGCCCCACAGCAGCTACAGCCACGCAGCTGCCCCTGGTGCACAGCAGCCCCTCGGCAGGGGAGCAGCAGCAGCAGCCCCACAGCCAGAGGCTGCCGGGTGTATTTTTATCTGCATGTAGAATACATGCATACATTTTCACTCCTCACTGTTGCCTCACAAGACATCCTCCTTGAGAGGACTGCTCATCATTATCATTCCAACATGACTCATAAGATATTGGTGTTAGTTACAAAGCCTCGCTCCAGCTAAGTAATTAGATGGGATCGAGCTTTCATCTTTTTTAAAATATGTATTTTTAATTCTCAAAAGTGACAAAGGCATGTCAAATCTGCTGCTCTAAAGGGATGCTCAGAGCCAAAAGCCCCAAAGCAGTTTCTCATGGAACAGATAATTTTAGCAAAATATAACCCACAACAAGCACAAATACCATCTTTGTGAATAATTCTAACAATATGATAAAGAGAGCGCAGGGAGGAAAAGCAAGCATTCAAACTGAAGCACATTCCCAAAGATCACAAGACCATTAAGAGCAAACCTTTAATTTCATGCTTCATTGCTAAAAGACCAAGAGACTCAAAACGGCCTCAGCCACAGCAGCCAGCTGCTATCCCCACACACCTGGACACTGCACCAACAAGTCCAACGTCACATCCAAGCTAAGGGGAACCTCCTGGATTTTCCTCAGCACAGGTACAGCTTTGTGAGCTAACGCACATCTCTCATGAGCTGCATTATTAAGAACTACCCCTGCAAAAATTCCCTCCGGAATCTGAAACGGTTTGGTACCTTTAAGGAAACTTGCCACATCAAACCTGCTCCTAACACATCAGACTTCAAATGAAACTTTGTGTTTTCACCTAAACACAGGCCAGTGTTTATATATGCTGCACTATAAATAGCATTAAAGCAGAAACTGACAAATGCCAGAAAGATTAGCCTTACTGCAAGGAAACTGATTCTTCCCGGGGGATGCAGCTTCTCCCCATGCTCACTGCCATACTTAAACAGCTCAGGCTCCTTCCTTACTGATCAGCTCGTTGCTGTGTTTGGTTTTCCTTTGGTTATTTTTTGGTAGTGGAGTGGGTTTTTTTGTTGTTGTTGTTTTTTTAACACACACACACTCCTTCTGCCAGAATTTTGCACTTACTCACATGGAAAACATCAATAAGAAGAAAAAACAGTTATTATCTAAATGTAGTATTGCATTTGAAAGCAAAAATAATTTAAAAAAAATTAAAATGAAAATATGTAAACAGAATTCCTGTTTTCAGCAGGCACTGTGCTGAATGAAGGAGCCAGGCTGCAGTCAGCTGGCAGCACCAGTGCCTCCTAATTTACTGCTGGTTTTAAATCCCCTTGGAGAATGCACCCGTTGATCTCGAGTTTCTGTTCTTCTCTACCAGCAGCTCCACGTATACCCAGCATTTTCCCTGAATACATTTTCTTTATTCCAGATAGGAAAAGAGGAACCTGCATTTCAGGACTGTTATTACTGTGAAGCACAAACAAGACGGACACACCAGCCCAGCTCAGCAGCAGCCCTGAGCTGCTCACATCCATCCCCACACAGCCACGCTGCCAGCTATCTCACCCCACTCACAACAACCTCCCAAATCCCACACCACCCCTCAGAATATCTCCCTGGACCCACCAGGTGAGCCCAGGCTTCACAAATTCTATTACTGAAATCAAGGACACATAGGGACAGGCAGATTTACACCAAGTACTTTAAGCGTCGAGTTTCTTCACCCGCCCTTTATCCAATTATCCCAGCACTGTAATCTCTCTGCAATCAGCTGCCCGTAACTTTGATGTTGCTGCCAATTACATTGCCACCTCAGAAAACTGCACTTCACGTGGCCATCTTGCCAGAACAGCCCAGATCCCGAGTCCATACCCAACACTGTAAAATTTCACATCCCCTGCAAGCATACAGCTAGAGGTGGCCTAAGCCTCTCAGAACTGAACGTTCCCCTTCTGGCTTTGGATATGTCCCAGAGAAAACTGGCGTGCTCATCTCCCAGTGACACAGGACAATTCCCCTTTTGGGCAGGCCCCCGTTGTCAGAAGAGAAACCACTGCTAGGTAAAAGCTCTCTCATTAAATCGTATGAGCCTAATGCTGACATGGGGACAAATGCTCCTGCTTCAAGTAAACAGAAGGTGGGAAGAGGAAAGAAGCAGTTTCCTCAAAACAGCTCATGAAAGGGGTTGAAAACAATCGGTGCAGCTGTAGCCCAGCAAACCCAGCACCCCCAGAGCCAGCACTGCCTCACATGCAGCAACTGCAAGCCTTCTCTGTAGCTACTCACATGAATGAGCCTTGAATGACTCCCCAGTTACATCCCTATAGAAGTTTCAGCTACACAGATGAAGAGTTGTGATCCCAGCAATTCAGTGCCTCGCTGGCTCTCACTGTGCCAGAACTGGTTCATGACGCTGCAGGAGGACTCATCTCCTCCCAAGCTCTGTGAGGTGGTTCGTTGGGTGCAGCTGAACCACCACAAGTCCCAAAGCACAGCCAGGCCATCCCCAAAACCCTCAGACCCATTCCAAAGTAAGAGCAGTGCCCTGCATGCAGAGCAGCCATGCAGGACAGCAAGGGGCACAGACAGTGCACTGGAGGCAGACAGGGCACTCCCATGGGCTTTCTGCCTTTAAAAGTATGTACTGGAAATATCTTACCACTTCCTTGGCCTTCTGAAGAGCAAAGACAATCCTTGTGTTTCATAAGCTGCCCACACCAAACTTATCCACTTCATCCCCACCAATTCAGTTCTCCTCAACATGGTTTAATACCCATGCAGATTTGGCTGCTTCTCCCGAAGCCACTTCCTTGCTGTAGCACATGACAGTCACACCAGAGATTAGACAAACCTTGGTGCACTCTTCTAATCAGCTGGCAGCATGCTAGCAGAAATCTCTTCTAATGAGGTACTCTGAGCTGATCAAAAATAAGCAAGCAAACAGGCAAAGAGATGTTTACATGGAACTAAATTAAAAAACAATTAGAAGTACACAAACATGCAAGTAGCTTCAGCTGTAGAGGCTGCAAGTGAGGAAAGTACAGTGGAGCACACATGCTCTGCAAATGAAGGACACTAGAAAGAAAGACAAAAAATGTTAAACCACTAAAACCAGTGTTCATGTCGCATACATCCCCAGGCAGTATAAAAAATCAGGTTCAAAGTGCCATGCACATACAGATTTTGTGATGCTCGTCAGTTCACACTGAAGTGTAGGGTTTGGAGCTAAACCTGTATTACAAGGTCCCAGCTGTCACACCCCACTCCAAAGTTAGCTGCTGTTTAATGAAGCTCTGTGTGCAATTGAGGTCTTTCAGAGATGTTTGTAGAAGGCACTAAAACCAAAATCTATGCTATATCTGCAAAAACAAAGCTTCTGATCCTTTCAGAAGAACCCACACGTTTTTGTTGGTTGTTTTTGGTTTGTTTATTTTTAACTTGAAGTTTGGTTCTACCCACAAATCCAGTCTATGACAAACAATATAGTTGCATACAATAAACCCAGTCACTAAACAACACCACAATAGCTCAGTTCACAAAGGGTTCTGAAAGGGAGGTGGGAGTGTTACGTCAGCTCTAAATACTCAACACACAAGCAAAGCCTTGCTTTGTAACAACATGTTAGCGTCAGGAGACCCTGACGGATTTTTCTGTAACAAAAGCTTGGGTGTGGGAACACTTTCAAGCAAACTATTTCACATCAGGAAGAGCCTTTAGGAGCTGATCAGCTCCCTCCACACGTACACCAAGGGAAACCAGGTCTTCCCACATACCCCACATATGGTTTAATTGAACAAGTTCGGTTCTGACAGTACAGAATGATGGGATGTGCGCCGCTGCAGGGATTGTGTGCACCCAGCCCATCTGAGCTCAGGTCTGCAAAGAGATGCAGGCAGGCAGCCTGAGGCTTTGTGCCCCTAACTCAGCAAGGAGAAGCGCTGCAGCCACGCTGAATGCACACCTCCACACATGTACAAACGGTACAGGATTTGTGCACAACCAGCAGAAGGTGCAAGCCATCGAGGGCAGGGAACTCTTTCATAGCCTCGACGCAGGCATCCCAAAGCACATTACGAGGCTGTCAGCATGATTTCTCCTATCTTTGCACATGTAGAACCTGAGCCACAGGCAGGCAGCAGCTGATGAGACTGCCCAGCCAGCAGCACACAGGGGGACACAGCCGTGTCCGTGCAGGCCGGTGCTCAGTCTGCCAGGCAACACCACAGCAGTGCTTACATGACACCTCTGGGGGTGTCTCAGAATAACATGATTAAACACAGGACTCAGCTCAAACCAGAGCTTAAACATGCCTGGGTTCTGTCCTTCCCCGTGCACATACTGTGAGGAACGCATCCTTCTGAAAGGAAGGCATGCCAGCTGTGCTCCAGGCACTCACGCTGCTGCCTTCCTTCAGCTGCACCTCCAAGCAGACAGCGGTGAAAACAAGCGATTGAGCTTGCTGCCTCCCTTGCGTTGCATCATCCATGCCACGAGCAGTGGCTCTGTGGATGGCAGCACAGCCAAACACCGCAGCGAGTCCTGCCACCAGCGCTCCCATGACTGTCAATACTGGCAGAGCTGTATTGCTGCTACAGCAACAGTGGCAGCTTTTCAAAGAAACTGCAGTGTATACAAGGCCGTTTTACACAACCAAACATAAAATCTTCCTTCCAGTTCCCTCCAGCTTCAGACAAAAGCAGTGAACCCTAAATCAACATGACTTGTGAGCACGCAGGGAAAGGCAGATGCCATCATTCTCCCTACAGCAGAAAACTTTGATTAAGAAGTTGATGTTGGTAAAACTCCCCTGTGAAGCAGCAGCAGAGGAGCTGCACTGTGCTGCTGACGTGCGGCACAACGCACGGCACATGCTGGTGAGCAGGAGAGGAGCTCACTGACACACAGCCACCTTTATTTTAAACCACGTCCATCAGCAGCGTATTGCTAACCAAGTCACTGAAGTTTTATTGCAACTCCACTATCGCTGCCTCTTGTATTGAAAAATAAGTAAAATCCAAAAGGTTTTTTCCTCTGTTTTTAAAGCTGCAAGTGTTGAGACCAAAAATGCTCGTATTGGAAGGGTAACAGTGCCAATAATTTATACCTGAGCAGAAGTCACTTACTGCAGTGTTCCACCAACCTTCAGAAAAGCTGTTAATCTCAACATTCAGGGTTCTGCTCAGCAGGGTAGGGTTGAGAAATTAATCCTTTTAAAGTTGAATTTCAACAACTGACAAAGGCATGTGTTAGCTGAACTCTATTCATGGCACACATCCAAATATCAAATAAAGCTTTCCTGGCTGTGTTTCAATCATCCTCATTCACAGCTCAAAGAGTACTTTTATAAATGCAGACAGACAGTATAAATCCTGGGTCTTGTTTGCATCCAATTTTACAAATCTCAGAAAGACAACAACTTTATTTAGTGAGTGTCACTTCAAGAAATGGACCGGCACTGACTTACTAAAAAGTCTGTCCTATGCCATTGTAAATTCCAGACTAAACTCCCAGAACTCAAAAGAAACTAATAAAACACAGCAGACAAAGCAGCACAACTGAAGAACGACAGAAGCCCAGACACACGGACCCAGCCGGGCACTGCTCAGCTCCACAGCCAAACCACCCCATCACATCTGAGAGGCTTTGCTACGTCTGAGGAGCAGCAGCGTTTAAAGAGGCACATTGCTCATAAACAACCCAAAATTGAGAAGAATGAAAAGAAAACAACCCAAAGCTGCCGTATTTTAATTTTCTGGCATGCAGGAAACTGAACTAAGTTTGCCCTTTGGAAAAAGTCCAAATATGATAGGTATGAAAATTCAATTAAGGAATTCAAACAACTCTATTTTTCCACATAACAACAGTAAATAACAATGTTATAACAGCAGCAACACTTTGTGATTCCAAGCAAAACTGAATGGAAAGGATACTCGGTTTCCTCCCCATCTTCATTCTGCCACTAAAAAGCTTCAACTTCATTTCCCAAATGCCCAAATATTGCATGTCCAAAGAACAAGTATTAGCAATATCTACTTACCACCCACTTTAAAACATTGATATTGTGCCAAAATCAAAATTCACCAGAAATAAAGGTAACCAGGTGCTCCAGCCAGTTACATCAGTTCTGTAGGTGCAAAGCACCACCTGGAGTCCCAGACAGAAGTCCATCTGATACTCCACATACCCTTGCCACAGGACAGTTTCTCAGCCTTTTTGGGTTAGGTCATTTTTTTTCAGTGGGCTTATTTTTGCCATCTCTTACATTTGCTGTAGAACAGCTGTAACAGCACCCACTGCTGTGCCACCAGCAACAAAAAGACAGACGCAGCTTTTCCTTTTGAGCCATACCACGGTATCCGACCTCAAAGAACAACAGTGTGCAAGAATTCAGACTTTAATGCAATCACCTCTCAGATTCAGCATTTCATAGTGAAGACAGGTCTGGAGGCCACATTCATGAGACTTGGCATGTTGCAGGTTTCCTACCATGGCACCATCCGGAGCCCACAAGCCATCAGCACAGCGCCTGGGCTCACTTCAGTGAGCAGCTGACATTAAAGGGTGCTTTCATGCACCTTCCCCACACTGAAGAGCACTTATGCTCCCTTACCATCACTTTGGTTCCTAACTACAATTCAAGTACTATGTTTGATGATAAAGTGGGAAGCCAAGCCAAACATTTAACAGCAAAACGTGGATAAAAAGTTCTTTTCTGTACTGCGGAGCTAAAACCCCAATGGAATCAGAGGAAGAGCAGCAATGAAAGAATGAGTGGTGTAACTAGTCTGGAATTGCCAAGTGGTAGAAAACATAGGGATGGTAATGCCAAATCAAACTAAACAGAGATATCTTTTCTCTGATAGCAGCAGACTACAAGGAAAGGTTTACAAGAACCAATAAGCTTCGCACAAAATACCCTCCAGGCTCTACAAGCAGCTGCAGACTGGCTCCCTTCCTTTGTGCTTCACTAAGCAGGTGTATCCCTACAGATCTGACACCTCGAGTCATTGATCCTTTTACCACCCAAAACATCAATCAATGAAATTAAATGGTGTACAAAAAAAAAACAAAAAACAAACAAAAAAAAAACCACACAACCAAATAAATCTTGTTTTAAATCACTGCCTGCTCACTGCACTGGGTGTCTTTAATTCTGAAGCCATGAAAACTAACTAAAAAAGCAAGGCCTGGTTATCTGTGGTTTATCATCAATGACCCCCCCACACTCAATTCCTTGGTTTTGCATGTGCAACACTTTGTATGTGCTAAAGCTCGATGAGGATCCACAGAAAGATAATTTAACAGAAGATAAGCCCGCTGGGGGTTAGAGTTCATGGGGGTAATCAGCTGGCGTGCAGATAACGATGCTTGCTGGACACCCCAGCAAAAGCTTCCGGGGACTCAGACATACCTCAGAAGGGAGCAGGGCATCACAGCCTCCCTGCTGCTATTCTGAAGAGCTCTCCAGCTCCATTAACTTGTCCTTCCTTACTGAATTTTTAAGGGGGAGCCTCATTCTCAGAGTTCCTTCAGCAGGTACTGGTATCCCACTGCATCAGGCACTGCTCCCAGTTCCCAGGGCTTCAGCTTTCTTTCCATGTTAAAGCTTAATTCAGTAAACATAAAACCCTGCAGATTCCCTGGCTCAGGGGTAGAAAGGTAATCTTCTGAAATGAATTCTTTTGCTATTGTATTAATGTATTGAAATACCTGTACAGCAAGCAGTACTTAATTTTACTCTAAACAATATAATCCCTTCCTTGCTACCACGCCTCTGAAAGCACCTTTTCTACTGAATTGGCAGCACACAACTTAAACAAAGTGCTGAAGATTAAACTGAATCTTCTCAGGCCACAAAATAAGAAACCAAATGATTTCCCCATCTGATTGAGGA